CCCCAAAACCCCAAAACCCCAAAACCCCAAAACCCCAAAACCCCGATCTTGCTAATTTTTATTGAAAAATAATTTACTATAAGTGTATCAGTATGGAAGACCCAGCTCCAGTGAAATCGACAGATCTCCTCCAAAATGCCTATATAGACCAAGTGAAAAATCAGGTAATTTAAACTATTAAGACTCTGTAGAAAATACCAAAGTATGTTCCGAAAGGAAAGACCAAGAAGAAGGTAAACAAGATCACCAAAAAATCTCTAAAAATGGGGCAATCCCAAAGTGTAGCCAGCCTGACTGCTTCTTCATTCCACAGCAATAATGGGAGGTCAGTGTTGCTCCCACCTCTACGGAAGTCGATCAATTTAGAGAACAAAAAGGTTATTATCACTAAACGCAAGAAGCCGATACAAAGGTTCGAGGAGCCTTCTAGTATTCGTGAAATGAAAGAGTCGGTTCCTTCAAGCTATCAGAAGGACTTCACCTCATTCTTAAAATCAATCAATGCATCCCAGAGCAACCTAGGGAAGGCAAGTAGGTGGAAAAGGAGAAGTCTCAACGAGCAGGATCTTGAGTGCCTTCCAAGCCCTAGTTCCTACAATCTTGAGCAATTTAAATCAATAGCAACGCAAGCAAAGGCATCTAACGCAGATCACTTAAGAAAATAAAAGGAACTCTAATATGAGATACGGTAGGTTTGGAGGTAAAACTTACTTCAAAGAACTAGATGTCTCCAACTGCGAGCAAGGACCAGGTCCCGGAGTCTATGATTCCCATAATTACAAACAAATAAAGCTGCCTAAAATGAAGCACAAAAAGGGATTTTCATATGTGGATAGAAAACTGGAGTTCAAGAAAGAGAAAAAAGAAAGCCCGAGCCCTACAAAGTATAATGTCCAGTATGAATTTAAGGGAACTAACCATGTGAAAGGACCTACCTTTGGATCGGCTGAGAAGAAGTTCTCTATGTTTTAGTTAACTGGGATTTCTCCAATTTTAGCAGGAAATAACTATCAGGTTGGTGCAGACCTGGGAGAATCTTAAATTATGAAGTTCATAATCACTCAGGCATATACTTATTAACGGGTTTTGATCATTCAATCTGGAGATCATTTTTCGGGGTTTTGGGGTTTTGGGGTTTTGGGGTTTTGGGG